GTTAATTAACAAACGGAGACGTCACAATACTTTAGACAACCTAAATCATATGCTGATATATATATATATATATATATGGGTGTGTTGATTAAAAAAAAAACGTGTTTACTGTTTAGTTCGATTTTTAATATAACTAAATTATATTCAGATATTTTATATACAACATGTCTGCTTGTGTAACAAATTCCGGATTAAAATTTGGAGGTTAGTAAATGATCAATACTGTTTCAACTCCCAGCTCTAAGTCAGAAAATATGCGGAAGATTTCGTACATTGTGGGTGTTCCGTCTATCTTGCATGTCGCTTTGATCCTGTAACAATGTTTAATAGGACTAGAACTGAAGTAACAAGACACTATGGAATTACTGAAGTCGCTAAATTTAATCCACGAAGAAAGACGTCCACAAACTTCACGCCAGTTAAATCTATTGCTAATGTTGGCATGGAAACAGTGACGTTCACGCGCTAGCCTCAAGTGTACTTAAGGTTTATTCTTTAGTTTGCTGTCTCTGTTAAAACATCTGACTTATTTAATAAACATCACGACATCAACGTTTTCATGTGCACGATAACTTTGTATAATGTAAAACAAAACGGGAAAACTACATGTTTCGGTGAAAAACATGATCGCCATCTTCAGGAGATGTTCATAGACAATTGGTACTTACTGTAGAATAATAATAAACTGTCATGAAAGTGTAATTCCTATAGTTCTGTAAACATGATGTACACAAAGCCCCAAAAATTCAGGGTGTCACACACACACTACGGGTATGGCTAATTTTGTGGTTGTAAAATTTTTACTCGGAATGGTTGTATCGGACAAGAAAGCTCACCTTGCATGTTTGTGAACGCTATATTATAATAACGTTACGTTTGCCCATACATAACATAATATAAGGCACGTTTCAGTTCAAGCCATTAACATTAGAATTGCATGCAATAAATTAAGGTATAATGTCATGGAAATTTAATTACTGGATATTATCGTTTCACTTGTCGGTCGTTTCCTGAAATCCCATGTTATTTAATGACGCGCGTTGTCGCTTTGTATATTGTATTATAGCAGATATACAAAGTTATTATACCACATAAATACGATGTAGCTTCATAGATATTTAACGTATACACGTGTAGGTTTAGGTTTTATTTTGGTAAACAATCTAAAGGATAATCAAATATGAATTGCTATTGGAGCACGAGTTAGTGCTGCTTTAAGATATAAATACATAACACAATGTTAATTGTGGGTTTTTGTAAAATGGAAAAAACTAGGTACGTCTATAGTTCTGTGTTCTCGTAGGATTCATTTACTGAATACACTTAGTAGACAACTGGAGCACCCGTGACCCGTTGGGTCACCCACTATTCATAGGTTAGGAAGAATTCAAGCTAATTTCAATATTGCACCAAAATGAAGGTTTATTTTAAGATGATTTAATTAAATATTTCAATCTAGTCGTG